ACGATACCCCGCTCACCGTTGGTCCGTCACCCTAACCCTTTAAAATTGTTCTTAATTATATATGGCTTTATGTACGTGTATATATCAAAAGGATATTGATTAAGAAACATTACTAACAGCATATGAATCCTACATGATTAAGAGAAAGACATACGATGGGGATCTTTCTCGATGTATTAAACAATTCTTGTTGCTACAGTGAAATTACGGGTTCAAAAGATAATTCACTGCTGAAACAGAATCAGCTAGTTTTTACCAAAAATTTTGCTCACAACACCCTTCTTGACACTAAAGATCATATGATGGGGGCGAACTTGCAGTTTTGTAACACAAGCCCGCAATTAAAACACCGAGCGGAAAAACCATGATTCTAAACCCACTGTCTATCAAAGCTGCCAATGACTTCAAAAGCCGAAAAAGAGCGTATAGAAGGATGATCACCGAACGTTCACCAACTCAACATCAAAGACAAGCCATGAGTGTGGCGGTATTTTCCCACCAGCACCCTGTTCTCCATAACTGCATAAAATATTACACGGTAAGTTACTTTGGCAGGCAAGGAAGGCTTAATAAAGAAGATTTCAACAAATTTCAAAAACCCTGCTTAAAGGGTTTAACAGATGGACCCCAAAGGCAAAGAATTCGATAATGAACTTATATCATGCCACGCAGGAAGCAACAGATAAGGCATTGGATTAGGTATTGTCCAAAAGTAATCATGCAGATCAAATCTAATGAACTTAGCCAGAGTGAACAATCACTGATGTGGTAGCTATAGCTTACCCCATCGATGGTGGAATTGTGAGTCTCCTTTTGTCACCAACCCGCATGCCTGAGGGTTAACACATAAACATGTAAATATACTTATAATGAATTAAACATACAAATTAATTCTTAAACATTAATATGCCTACCATTAACTCCAACATCCCATCCCTTTATGACTTGTCCAACACCTGCATGATCACATGAAAGTAATTTAATCATCACAAAATCAAGTATTTCTTATCCAATGACTACAGTCCAAATTGTGTACCTAGGCGGAATTTAAAGGGAGCTCTTCCAACATTAGAGTCAAATATTTTGTCATTCTTCTTCAGCTTACCAATGTAGTGCACACTGACCTGAAACTCAAAAAAAAAAAAATGATAATTTCAGTTGATTGAACGACCTTTTGCATTCTTTTAATCAATAACTTCTGGAAAATAAAAAACACACCAATTAGGTTACTGTAAATATGGGTGAACTTGCATCTTGCTTGTATGAAATCATCAACAATACAGCAAGCCAGTAACTGACAGAGGCAACTCAGAAGCATGCCACCGTATAAGGTGACAAATTTGAACATTTCATATTATCAAACTAATTCAAGCACTAATTACAAAAACAGCATGCTTAATTTTAACACAGTTAACCAATTTCCTCTATTCGGAGTGTAATGAGCATAGGAAAAAATAATTAAACAAGTGCTTGGAAAAAAAAAATGACTTTGGCTTTGCAGGCTGGTTGATCAATAGTCAAATACGAGGCGAAGAGCTACCTGACTCCTGGGACAAGCACGTTTACCATCTGGTTTTCCCATTGATAATTCTTCAATAACCAATCCATTTGAGAAGGTTCTAACTTGTGAAGACTTGGTTGTAGATTTCTTATCTTCAGAATCCAACAAAGATTTGGCTTCACCTCCCACAGCTTGTTCCTTGGTTGTTGTTCCACTATCCAAGGTCTTCTTCTTCTTCTTTTTCTTCTTTTTTTTATCAGATGAATCATCACCAGGCATACTATCTGCATCAGTGTCAAGGCCCCTGCAAACGGGTTCAGTAGCAACATATTTAAATAAAAGCTAAAAAATAACACTAGTAATCAGGCTTCCATAAAAACCTCCATTCACCAATACCAGCATCCATGCATCCATTCACGCTAGAGAGAGGCAGGGGGGAGATGAAAAAATCCTAAGCCATTTCCCGTTATTGTGAACCTTTCAACGTGTGTGGTGAGATTATTTGGAGAGAAACTCCTAGTTTAAAAACAGAGAGTTCACATACTTATTAAATTAGACCGGGCCCAGGCACATTTCCACATTCAATGACACATGGACACACATCATAAGAACGGACAAATTTGAATCTTTGACAGGCAATAGTAACAACATTCCATATTGCAAAATAATAGACTTTGGTTCTCACCTCTGATCGTGTTTGTTTTCATCAGTAGAATCCTGCCTTTTCACTTCCTCAGGCTTGATTTCATCTCTAGAGGCATTGTTGTTCTCTTCCTTATCATCCATTTCATCAATCTTTTCCTCTGCACCTTGTTCTCTTTGCTTCTTCTTGTTCATCTTCTTCTTCTTCGTTTTGCTGCCATCAAAATTCAAGAGCCACTTTAGAAGATAGAATTGACAAGTCAAATGTAAAGCAAACTCCCTGCTCTTGGAAAGTGCAGCCTAATAACACAACCAAGCTGTCCCCTAAGAAAAAATGAAAATTGTTTTTAGAAAAAAAACACCCAGTTATGGATGGTCTCACCTTTCTGGTTGACCGTCTTCATCAATGCTTTTAACCTTTCTCTTTTTGCCAGTAGTGTCATCATTATCCTCTCTAGCTATCTTGTTCTTTGTTTCTTGGGTTGTTTCCTTATCTTTTTGTCCATTTATTTCTGCTTGGGGCTCTGGAACAGTAACTTTTCTTTTTGCCGGGGAAGAAATTGGAAAACCATCTTCATCTTCACTTTCCAGAACTGAAATACATGCATCCCTCTTAAGAACAATTTGTCGTTGGGAATGGTTTTGGTCTTCCTGGTCGCTTGATTGATTATTCTTCTTCTTTATTCGTTTAGACTTGCCATTTTCTTTTTTAGGTTTGTCATCTTCAGTTATCTCCTCGATTACAACTAAAATAAGGAGCAAATTTAAGTGAAGTAAACATCTTTGGTTAGTTGCTGCCAGTAATCATAAAAATCAAATACCAGGTGTGCCAGCAAGCACATTTGACATAAAGTTAAACCGCCACCAAACATTGGAAGACCACTTTTTCACTAGACGAGGACAATAAATTATGAACTCTTAGTGGAGTAAATATGATATATTGTGACAACACAGAAATGTCATGACAGTATGTGGACAAGTTTGAGGTAAATTTTCTTTGGCGTATATAAACATATAAAATTCATTAACTAGAATT